AACTGCGAACCGCGCCCTAGCTAAGTCCACCCTATCAAATCGTATCCCTTCCTTCTACGAGACATCGAAGAGCTCTGCCGAGCTTCGATCGTCGCTAACTTTCCACAGCCTCCGAGTAGCTTCGACGACGTGTCGAAGCCACCTCGTACCTTCCCTAGCGTTCGTAACCTTTTCCGAAGGCGTTTCTCGTGTTCACTCGAACCGCGGGACACCTTGCTGCTAACTCCCCTCTCACTAGACTATAATCCGTCTCTCTAGTCCCTTTAGGTCGCACCCAGGTTAGGGGTTAGGGTTTCGTAGGTCGTATCATTTCTGGAGCCCACCGCGAGGGTATTTCAGGCAAGAATTCGCCGCTTTCGGGTTTCCGAAAACGTCTCCAGTAGTCACCCGCTTGCAAGCGCGTGAGGCTGCTAGTCGCAGCGCCGGCGAAAACCTCGACAGCTCCTCTCAAACGCACTCGACTCCCTCTCCGACAATTCCCGGTAACTTCGACCGCGACGAAGAAGACGAGATAGACCAAGAACTCCAGGACGAGTCGCTCGTAAATCTGCACAACCCAACTAACCCTTTGTTTTCGAACAGCTCGCCTATCGCAAGGCCTTGGGCGCCATCCGCGACGAGGAGACGGAGCTGCGCGTCGCCGCCGCTGTCAAGCAACTCGCCGAGCGGGCGTCGGAGTCCTGGGTCGAGTGGGCGCGCGGGGACTGGCCCGAGCTCGCGACCGCCATCGACACCGAGGTTGAACGACGCGTCGAAGAGCAGAAGCGCCTCGCCGAAGAGGAAGCACGACGCGTCGAAGAGGCCGCGAAGCGTGCGAAGGCCGCCGAGGACTGTCGCCTCGAAGACGAACGGCGTCGAAAGGACGAAGAGGAACGGCGCCTCGAAGACGAACGTCGCGCGCAAGAGGCCGCCGATGAGGAGTTGGCGAGGATCGCGGCCGCCGAGGGGCTTCTCGATAAGGGGAAAGGGCGCGCGAGAGTCGACGAGGAGGTCGCCGAGTTGTCGGACGACCCTTCGATCGTAAGTGTTTTCTTCTATCGTCGTTCGATGACTAAACTCTCTTTCGTAGAAGACTCCTCGGACGGTCGAATGTCCGTTCGTGATGACAGAGGTCGACATGGCCACCGCGGCGACTGTGAAGCGCCAGGCTGGACAAAAGGTACGTTCGATGCTCTGTCGAAGCGGTTCGAGGCTAACTCTTCGATAGTGTGATCGTTGCGCCGGCTACCGCTCGGCCCCGGTCGATTGCGTGTGGGTCGAGAACGCCACAACCTGCGAGAGGTGCGCGCAGTTCCAGCAGGGATGCTACTTCGACAAAGTGTCTGTGCTTGGGAAGACGAGGAAAACGCGCGGCGGGGGATCAACCACAAAGAAGCGCAGTAAGTCGTGTCTTCGTGTCCTAGGCCTTCACTGACGACTTGGTAGTTCGGCCGACCTCTCCTGGGCCTTCGGTCGCGGACTCGAGTGGTTCGAAGAAGCGCCGAGTCGACGAGCCTCCGCGCCCACTGCTGCGACTGCCTCTCGATGGGGCCAGCCGCCTTGGGCTCGAACAGGACGACCTTGATGCGCTCGACCTCGACGACGAGTCTCGGGGGATCATCCGCGTCATCCGCGAGGAGCGCGCTCACATCGCTCGCCGTCGAGCGCTCCTCCACGACATGGACCTCGACCTTCAAAAGATGGAGAAGGACGCGCTCGCGAAGGGGGGAATCGGGTTCGTGCGCGGGGCTGTTGACGAGGACTAGGCGCGAGTCGTTTTGTATCGTAGTCGTCCTTATGTCGTAGAGTATTGCGTAGATGGTCGAATGGAAAATGCGGCCCTTGGCCTAGACGAAACCTAGCGGGAATTAAGAAAAGAAAATGAAAATAAGGGTGTTCGAAGTAAGTCGTAATATGATCGAAGGACATAGAAGGAAAAATAGAAATGTTTGTAGCAAGGGAAAATGGACTAAATGAAAATATAGGCTCAGTTTGTCATCACAGCCTAGGAGGACTCGTCTAAGGTGAGCCTCCGCGCAACGGTCGAATCGAAGCGTTCGTAGAACGTCGAACGATGTCGCGACTATCGAGTTGAATCGAAGGTATTCGTACAAGGGATGGTCTGGAATGTAGGATAAAAATCAAGCATATCGCGTAACGTGAGAGCAGGAATGGAGAGAAGAAAGTACGTATCGTGTTGTACAAGTAACAAAAGGGAAGAACCTCTATTCATTGCATTCTTCGGCTTCTTCGACTTCATCATCGTCGTCGTCGCCTAGAGAATTCGATAGTTCGAGTTCTCGAAGACGCTCGGTCGAGACATCTTCGAGATCTTCGGGAATTGGAATGTATTTGCGCGCGAAGTACGGAATGACGCGGAATGCTGCGATGGGTCGATCGAGGACTGTACCGTCGAGTTCGCATACGATGTACGCGCCGCCCTTGTTGCGCGAGACAACGATGAGGGGGCCTAGATATCGCGGGCGCATCTTGCGGTTGAGGGATTTCTCGATCTTTGTGTTGCGTATGAGCACTAGGGCTCCGCGCTTGAAGTCGAAATCCTGGATCGAGTGCTCGTGCTCTTTCTCGAAGCGAATTGCTGCAGTTCGACGTGCTTCGTAGACCTTCGAGTGGAGTTCGGTGACTTGCTCGACGCGTTTCTGGAGCGCAATGGCCCTACGGGCGATGAGATCGGTCGTCGAAAGGACCGAAGTCGGTGGTGGTTGCAGGTACGTGGCTTCGACGATGTCGAGAGGAATGAGTGGATGGGTGCCCGTAACAGCGAAATAGGGTGAGCAGCCCATGCGTCGTCGAGTCGTGATGCGCTCGGACCAAAATACAAAATACGCAGCTTGGGACCATTTCTTCTCATCTCCGTCGGCTGTCTTAAACAAGGCTTGTCGCGTGCTGAAGTGCGGACGTTCGACGAGACCGTTCGCCCTCGAATTGTACCCACTGATTCGAATATGGTTGATGTGGTAC